ACCTGAGTCTCTTATCGACCCCGGGCTTTATTAAATACCCCAAGGTTATATTGGAAAAATCCTGGCGAACAGGGTAAAAAAATCCCTTATTTTTCAGCTCAAAATCCTTTTCAGGTATGTTGATTATTACAAATTTTATGCTAGAGAGTATCAAGTATTAACCTTAATTACATTTACCATAGTTTATAAGCTTGAGAGATTAAACTCAAAAGAAGTCCTCAATAAAACTGGCATTATTTTTAACCAAACATGTTTAAATGAAGGGCTCTACCCTAAATATACATAGTTTATAATCAAATAATTTTAACTTTGTCAATAGTGAGCCAGTGATCTATTATTATCTTGTTGTATCACAAAAGTGACCCATCTGTGTCAGAAAACAAATCAATGTCAAAAATATGTATTGAATCAATTAACCAAGTTCTGCAGTTTTCTTGTTTCTCAAAACTCATATTTTGCAAGCCTCTAAAAAATTCAGTTGTTTTTACCTTAAGTTTTGAAAAATTGGAATTTATGCCAATCTTAGAGGTTTCTACGTACTGTAATTTCCGTCAGTACTTTCCATTTATACTTCAGTAATTACCATGCTTGTATTGCTACTACCTACGAGGGCTGCTAACTATACGTTGGAACCTAAATTATTCAAATAAAAAAAATTAATTAACTCAGTACTCACTGCAGTGAGTGATAGAGAGCTCATTTTCTCGTCGACGAAAACGTAAAGTCACGGACAGACAGACGGACGGACGGACATGACGAGCACAATAGCACCTTTTTTCCATATATGAGAAAATGCCCTAAAAAATACATTTTCGTATCAAAACCTAGCATGCAGAAAAAACCTACTAGCAAAAATGTCTCTCAGTGCATTATTTCTTTAAAAACAATACATACCTAGACAGTTTGGTCTTCCTTTTTCATTACCAGTCCTTTTTTGTGAAGAATGTTAAGATATGATTCTATTTAAAGATCCAAATTATCAAGTGGTTGGTTATATTTATACATACATTACAAAACCGACAAAAGTCTATTGACTTAGCTTCCCTCATTTCAGATACTTGACTGTGTGCGTTTGTAACGCCTAATTTTTTTAAAACTTCTTTTGTGAACTTTTGAGTTGATTAAAGAAAATCAAATAATATCAAACATGAAGTTATAGTCTCAAAAGGCATAGTGTATGAAAATATAAATGAGAAAATAATTGTTTTGGAATTAATTTGGGTGTATTTCTATTTCATATTGAGAAACTACTAAATTAAATTAACACCATTGTTGAAGTTTATATTAAACCTTTTGTTCTGGTAGGGCTAACATAAAATAGATACAATGAATCTCTGTGAACTCTATTTCTCTAGCCGTGACGTGACAAAAGTTACTAAGACTTTAGACCAAAGAATTTAGACAAAATCACAAAATGGGCTTTGAGATGAAGGAGATTCTGGAGGTCGCTTATCGATGTCATGTCATTGTGATGGATTCTAATTGACCGTAGAGCAAGTTTGTATCACCAATAAAAATTCATAGTGAGTGGGATTTGCTAGGACTCAAATATATGTAGACTTTATATAGAGGCTTGCAGTATACGTACTTATGAGATGACTGTTTTTGTTCAATAAAGCCTAATAGATATTTCCTCGGTAGCTTCTATCCAGTATTATTGTTTGTGGAGTTCAAACCCATAAATTTAGTTTGATGCTTTCTTACGTTTCTTTAAAACCCACCTTTCACTCTGCGAGTTTTTCTTCAAAATCCCGGATTTTTACCTTAAAAAACCAAGCCCGGGTGGGCAGCTCCCAGATGCAGGTGCCCAGTGTAACCCTTGTTAAACACAACAATATTAATAATAAATAATAATAGCGATTTCAGCGTTTAGTAGGCCGTAAGCCTGTCGCCGTTTCTTAACATCGCAGAACATTCACAGCTTTTGCGGTCTCGAACACGCAACTCACTGCTACAATTCTGCTGTGCTTAACCGCCCGGCCTCCTTGCCGATTCTGACCAGAAACTGGCGCACAGAGCTGGGATCGAACCCGCGCCTCTCTGCGCCAATCTTGGTACTCTGAACTGTAAACACTGGGCCACCCTGCCCAGTATATTTTATTGTAGCAGCGAGTTGCAATAAGCAAGCAACGAATTAATCTGTGAAAATTCTGTCATGTTCTGAATCAACGAAAGGTCAACAGGTCTAATCAACACTGACACCGATGTTGCCATATACTAGTAGACCTGACCTGTATACGATAACATACCAAGTCTCACTCGAGGCAGATAATTCGATAAAGGTTTAATATGTCGCGGGATTCGCTAACGTTTTATCTTTCTTTGCCCTAGAATATTTTCCAAAAATATATGAATGCCATTTTTCAATTTTATTTCAATATATATTTTAGTTAGTTTGTAACATTTGGTTTCAGGACACCCATGTATAGACAATGGTTCCGAAAATTTTTGTGTTCGCGTACCACTTGAAGGTCCTGGATCGCCACGCTGAGTCGCGTAACACCAAACAACACTACAAGCCAACGTGTGGTGCTATTAATCAATTATTATCAATATTATTACCCAATTCGTTCATAATTATATCCATATTGTATAGGATACGGGTCATCGTGACACGTCGAGACACACTGGCAGCTGAGAGTGACACGAGTTGTCCTGGTATTCAAAATATCAAGATCAATATTCCGCCTGGTGAAGTAGCGAGATTTATCGAGTTCATCAAAATCTCGTCACGTGATGAAAGATGACCGAGACGTATCATGTTCATCAATATATCGTCACGTAAAAAAAGAAGATCGAGATGTATCATGTTCATCAATATATCGTCACGTAAAAAAAGAAGATCGAGACGTATCATGTTCATCAATATATCGTCACGTAACAAAACTAACATATCGCAAGTTTAGTTCAATGGCGGAGAGGGGAGCACGCGTCTTGACCTTTTTCAACACGCGATTTCAAATTCAAAAGTGTCATGCAAACCCTGACGAACTGATGCTCACGGTTGCACCACATGCACTCAATACACGAGAGTACATGCAGCTGTATCATTACACTCATTTTCCTTCAGTAAACCGCGTAGACAATATAAGATTATGTAATTTGTTTCTTCCTTTGTCTGAAATTATCCATTTAACTATGATTTTTTTCTTCAAAATTCAGTGACACCAATCGTTCAGAAGCGACCGAGCCATGAAGCGCGTCAGTCAGGACGAGAGTAGTTGAGTAGAATAGTCTTGGTTCTCGAATATTAATTAAGAACTCAATTAATTATACCATAGTTAATTAAGAACTCAAGAACTATGGTATAGAACTCAATAAAACGATCAAATTATTGGAAAAAATATACAATCATATTCAGCTTTTTAAATCTTTATTTCGAATCAATCGATTTACTCGTTATACTATACATGACCAAGCGATTGACGATTCGAAAACGTACTAATTTCTATAAAAAAATTACCTCTGTAAGAAGTCTAAGTTTTTTCAGCAATGCAATCACTAGCCAGGCTCCGTACAAGATCGTGAATAAAACATTTATTATCATTGAAAAGAAGTTGAAAAACTCAACTACATCACAAAAATCCGAACAACTGATAAGAGAAATAAAATATTGTCTCGGCTAAACATAGTTCAGAGCGCCTAAAGCTGAGACTAAGAGCAGTGTTTTCAAATATAATTAAGAGTTCTTAGCTATCTCAGCCAATCACTGACATGTTTTCGCAATAAATCCACCAATCACTGACGGCTTTTCACACTAAATCCACCAATCACAGTCGAGAAATCGGACGCTACGTATACTTAGGCAATTTTTGATAGCACGACATCCCTCTGCCAGCCGCCTTCGTAAACTGCAGCGCCAAACTTGAGATGAAACTTGACCGGGCTGACAATTCTTGATAAAATTAGACTATAGTTGGGCTAAGCTCATAGGGCCATCAGCGTGTTGGGCTGTTACATCAACTTATTGAGGGTGATACATCAGCATGTTGGGATGATGCATCAGCGTGATGGCATGGAACATGTTAGCGTGAACAGTTAGTATAATACAAGATACGAGATTACGGATGAACGTCTTTAGGTTACATTCGTTTCCATAGCAAAGGAGTGGTGGTACATAGCAGCCCAGTATACGTTACAACTACGTTAACAACGCAAACGGCGTTCACAAATGAGTTCTACAGAACTGTAAACACGAAATACTAATGAAAGAACTTCAAGCACCCCGTTGAGATTCTCAAACAAATTATTAAGTAGACCAAGTCTGGCTATTGCAACCAAACTTAACGCTTGCCTAGCATTCGCAGTGGCATTAAAAAAGTCTAATGCATCATTCTTCTGAAGGCTTTATTCGCAAAAATATTCATTTCCACTTGAACATGAACCTAAATAGCCTGTGCATGTAATTCAAACGGGGACATGCCAATAAAAGTCAATGTAGGGATCCATTTGTCGATGGATTATAGTCAATTTTACTGTACTGTTGGACAGTGAAGCACATTTTAATTGACGCGATTTGCCTGGATAAACACGCCATCGTTAGAGCTGAGCTCTCGTCGGCCGGCTGCCAGGAGGTCACTTGCTCCATTGCATTGCATCAAATTGATTAAATTTCTTTCATCAATAAAGTATACGATTCTCATGACGCAGTACGATAACCATGAAGACTCAAGAGCAAACATAACAAAGTTCAGGCAGTGATGGCCAGAGCTCGACCGCATCTATCGAGACTTGGACGAAGAAAGCAGAATGCGAGCGGAGTGGCAAGAGTGGCGCCTAAGCGGCAAAGAATGGCTGGCACGAGTGGCGCCTAAGCAGCAAGAGTGGCGCCCAAGCGGCAAGTGTGGCGCCTATGCGGCAAAGAATCGAATAGAACAAACTGCAAATACTAGTTTCTTTATAGCTCATTTTCTCATTTATGGAAAAAATGCACTATTGTGCTCGCCATGTCCGTCTGTCTGTCCGTCCGTCCGTGACCTCAATGTTTGCGCGAGAAAATGCGCTCTCTGTCACTCACTGCAGTGGGTACCAAGTTATATTTTTTCTTTAGTTTCCGCTCTCAGGTTCAAGTTCTGTCCGCTCAACAAGCAATTCAATTTAAAAAATCATGTATACGTGTCTTTAAAATATTTCCATTTTTGATGAGGACATGCGTATGAGACCATCGAAATAAGGCACCACGAGTGGCAACTTCACACGCAGCCTGAGTGGTGAGGACAAGTCTCAATTTATTCAGTGTCGCTAGCGCCAATTTACCCAAAATCACTTTTATCCGCTTTCAGTCACCTAGTTTCACTTAATCTTTCTCCAGTAACCAAATTAACCTACCTAGCTGTGTACTATTTAACCTAACTCCTAGCTGTGTAGCTTTAACCATCCACATCAGGATACGTGGGACGGTAACATAATTTTATTGCTTAACACAAATCCGGTGGAAAATTTCATCAAAGACCCACTCATCAAAACTGTACAAGTTCACTCAAAATAAGCTGTGGTTAGAAATACCAGCTTCTGCCTTCAGGGCATGAGCGGGAAAGACGATCTTGCATTTGAGTGGCCACCTTCACATTAGAGTGGCCGCCCTCACATTAGAGTGGCCACCCTCACATTAGAGTGGCTACTCCCGCATTGAAAAAAACACCCCTCAGGACTTTGCAGGCGCTACTTCTACAGAGAATAAGATCGACTGGATTGCCTTCTTAAAGACTCAACAGTATTTTTTAAATCCATTGATAATTTTTAACTAAAATGACCTAATAACACCATGTAACAACTCCAGGACGAGACAAGAGGTAAGGTTTGTGGTGGAGATGTCTACTGTGTACGCGATGTTCAGGAGTCGACGGCAGGGGCGGGGGGCGGCGAGTCGCCCTGCTTGCTCTCCAGCGAGAAGGGCGGGATGCGGCACTCGAACTCGTAGCCGTCCGCTCTCTCCATGCGAAACGTGCCCCTGCATGGACATTACGTCATCACACGCGTGCTAAGATTAATTAAAATCTCGCATATAAGCAAGCAGGCAGAACACGTAATTAAAATACACAGTCAAAATACAGAACACACATTCAAAATACAGTCCACGCAGTCAAAATACACTACACACAGTCAAAATACAGTAAACACAGTAAAAAAACAGTCAAAATACGCAGATAAATAGTAAGCAGAGCCATGCATTGAATTCTGAGCAAAGTGACGAAGGCATAACTTTCTGGGTACAAAGACACAGCATTCTTGTCACAACGCTCACGGCGCTGCCCTTGCACGGCACTTGATCAAGTCAACACAACAGAGACAGCAACCGCAGAGCAGGAGTACAGCCTACCACATGTGGCCGGAGGGGCTCTGGAGAGAGACGTGCGAGCTGTACTGGAAGGCGGGGTCCCGCTTCGTCAGGAGCGGCTCGCTGCCCACCACGCCACGTCCCCTCACCGTCTCCAGCGTCCCCGACAAGCTGAAGATCCGCCAGTGTCGCTCCCGCAGCTGCACGGCTTTCTCGCCAAGGTTCTCCAGCCGGATACAGTAGCGCCACTGAGGGAGGTGCTGGCATCAGGTAATACGTTCATGATGTGGTACATCAAGTATCATCATTGATCAGGTAATACATTCGGGGTGGCGCATTAAGTATCACAATTGATCAGTTAATACATTCGGGGTGGTAGGTCACGTAAAAATAAGTAATCAGCTAACTCAACGTTTGTGGTGGTGCATTATGTATAATAAGCGATCAAGTCTCTTGTTCGTATTGGTTAATCACGTAGGTCAAGTAACAGGGTCTCTCATTGACATCACGTCATTAAGCAAATTCAATGCTCCTGTGACAAGCACTTCGCAAACTTAGGCATCGTAACTCACTAGGTACATCGGCTAGGGTGATGGAATACTAACACTCGTTACAAGATCTGCACCCTCATACTATCGCCAGCGATTAGGCAAGTCGCCACAAACTCCGACAAAGTAGAATTTCCAGCAAATAAACTGGACCTTAATCCCTTGTGTCCGGGTTGTCCATTGACTGACCCAGGAGACTAAGTTCCTCTATGAGTGCCCGGCTGGTTTTCGTTCACTTCTATGCAACTCTACCGATTTTGGTTAGAATTATCTGACCCTGCCGCCGTTCACTTATATCCAACAGGCCCGGCGATGCCTCCTTCATCTCTATTGAAAGGGTTGCCTTCTGACTGACCCAGAAAACATCGTTGCTATGGGGGCTATGGGCCTCCCGGCAGCCCATGTAGAACGGGATGACGGTGACACGCACGCCTTCTGTCGTCTCCTTGTGTACGTCAGAGAGCTCCAGCCAGGGGTGGTTGCGCTTCTGCCACGCCTTCAGCGTGTCGCGCGCCTCAAACGGCGGGTCTGGAGCACACGAGATCATCACGAAAATCATTAAAATGCTCAGAAAGTCAATGGCCACCCAGTAAATGATGGTCAATGGTCAGCCAGTCAATGATGGTCAATGGTCACAAAGTCAACGATGGTCTGTGGTCACCTAGTCAATGATGGTCAATAGTCACCCAGTAAATGATGGTCAATTGTCACAAAGTCAATGATGATCAATGGTCACAAAGTCAATAAGGATGATGAAAGTATAGATCGCCGCTAATGACAACTATTATAACCTATACAACACTTCAGTCGACATTGCCCTCTTATTCTCTGCAGCAACACCTCAACCCATCCTTCTCTCCCACACTCTGAAGGCAACATCCCAACCCACCCGTGTCTGTCATTCTCTGCAGTAACACCCCCAACCCATTCTTCTCTCCCACACTCTGACGCAACATCCCAACCCACCCGTATCTGTCATTCTCTGCAGTAACACCACAGCCCACTTGTCTCGTCAACCTTCTGCAGCAACATCCAAACCCACCCTTGTCTGCCACGCGCTGCAGGAACTTGTAGAAGAGCTCGTGGTGTATGGGCCGCTCATTGAAGGCTGTGTACGGCATAACGTCCTCGTGCGCCACGTAATCTAGTCCCGGCACCGCGTACAGCGTCCGCCCGTTCTCTTGGTTGCCCAGAAACGTCACCGCCTCAGTCTGTGCCTTCTTCGTGTACTTCTGCACACATGAATTACTCTACATTACAACTCTGCACACACCTTAGTGATATGAGAACCTTCTTGTAACAGGTACCTGAGGTTCACCTTTAACATCGTCCACGGTCATGTACACAAGTACACAAAGGAAAGTCTGTACCATGACGAAGTCTCGAACCTCTGATAAAACTGCATCTGTCTGAGTGCCACTCATACCACTGTGTTGTATTAGTTATGGAGTACATAATATTTGAACAGTTAATTAAGGGCTCCCTGATTGTTCAACAAATGTATAGTTGTTACAAGGATATAGGTGCATCCTGAAACTATGAGGCTTTCTTTTAGAGAGCAACCAATAGCGGTAATTCTGTATTCACTAGACAATTGACTGTTGAATGATAAGTGTATTTATTTATACAGAGAAAAATGTCTATTACAAAAGGCACACCGGAAAATGAATAGAATAGTTTCACAAGGATGACTCAGCCTGCACTGCTACCCAACAAGGCTGGCAGAAATAATAATGCTGCAAAATCTTTCAGCAGTGAGAGGCGAGCATTTCCTCTATAATATGGAAGCAGCATTCAGGAAGTGACAATTTCATCAGAGCTCTGAATAAAAAGCACATTTTCCAGCTGTTGCTTCATGCCATCATGATTTGCATTATTTCGAGCCTATATTGCTAGATCACCACTAGCAATCTTATTAGGTATTGAAATTACTATCCGTTATAGAATAAACAAAAATTACTGAAATTAATCATAAAACAAATAAAATATAAAATAAAGAAAAAAAAACTTTTGTGAAAAATATCTTTATAAACCTTTCTATATAAAATATAAATAAAGCAAAATAACTTTATGCCGGCATCTATACTCACCAGAAACTGGCAGTCTCTGGAGTCGATGAGGACCTGGTAGTATGTGTGAGCCGTGCCCTTGATGTGGTCTTTGGTGATGTGTCCAAGGTACTCTTCATGAGGCGGTGAACCATGGTTCTTGGACATGAGGAGGTCTCCAGGGGCAGCAAGCGGGTCGTCCCACTCAGGAGGATCCCTGAAGGTGGACGTCTCTACGCTGCTGTCACTGCTGTATGGAGACCAAAGGCAAGAGCTGCAAACAACACAAACCGTCAAATATAAGCAAGAAACTTTCACTATAACTAGGCACTCACGGGTCACCCATTAGGGAATATATCAATGATATAAATGGCATATAAGTAAAATAAAAAACACATCCGTATAAAATCTAAATCCATGCATGGAAAGCTTGGAAAACACAGCAAAATTATTTTAAAAAGCAAAAATTAGGCAAGTGATGCTCGATCAAAATAAAATCTACTCAATGTATAAATAGAAAGAATGCATACAAAATGAATGATTAATAGAATGTATTCATTCTATAGAACAGTATGTATAGAATGTATTCATTCTAAAAATGTATTTATTACATGTAGGTATGGTATGAATCTATTCCTTCTATTAAAGTAGCAAAAAAATATTTATAAGGGTTTGAGTAGAGATAAATTATAAGAGGAAGACATCATCAATACAAGTACCAGGCAAAAGTATTGTGGGTTATAATAGGAATAACTGAAATGGGAAACAGGATCTAGTAGGGGAATCATGAAGAAAAGAAAACAAGGAGATAATGCAGGGCAGCTGGAGGGAGTCTGCAAACTAATCAGTTTCTGCAAACTAATCAGTTTCTGCAAACTAATCAGTTTCTGCAAACTAATCAGTTTCTGCAAACTAATCAGTTTCTGCAAACTAATCAGTTAACAAATTACTCAAGGCACCGATAAAATCAAGCTGCTGCATCCCACATCATGTGCTTACAAGTCTACATAAGTTGAATAAAAAACACAGAACGCACAATTCAATTTATCTATCGTTGATGGTTCAAAAAACGAGAAGAGTTGATGGATAGTCAAATATTTGATGCTAGAGTTGTTGGCAAACATTCACAAAATAATCAAACTGAACAAACAAATGCAATCAACTGCTGAATTGGTCTATGCAGGTGCTGATTAAAACAGGTTATGCAGTAAGCATGAAAATTAAGCTGAATGCTTTGACTTCACTCAATAATCAATACATTGACTTAGATAATAGATAAAGTTGAATTATGTCTTTTTGTCTGGGACTTGCAACTTTATGGAAGAATTAAGAGCTAAGAAAACACACGGGAGATTGCTGAAGCAAAGGCATATGTTATTATAGAGAAAAACAAAGCAATGTTACTCGTTATAGCGATGTTACTCGTGTTACTCGGTTACAAAGCAATGTTACTCGTTCCTGTGCTCCATGTGCAATGCCTGGACCCACAAACGGTTCTCCGGCCATCGCTNGCCTCCATCCAGTCGAGGTTCGGTCACCTGATCACACCATTCTTGGGTAATGGCATGATGCCTGCCGGTGCCTATGGAGAGGCCAAGCGGTCCCTCCGCAGGGAGACCGCCTCCCGCGTTGCAGCGACTGACGCCATAAACGCCGCTACCGCCGATTGCATCAGCGGAGGCCTCACTCCCTCGCCCCTACCGCTCAGCGCTATCCCAGCTCCGATCGGGATACTGCAGCTCCCTGGCGTCCTATTCCGCCAGGATCGAACGCTCCCTAGCTCTGCTAGCCCGGAGTGCGGGGATCCCCTCAAGTTTGTTCAGCACCTCTTTGCCTGCCCCGCCTTCCCCACGTCTCTCAGCGTCACCTCCCTGTGGGACAACCCCGTGGAGGCAGCGGCTTTCCTGGCCACCCTCCCTGCCTTTGCCCATCTTCCCCCTCTTCCGGTGCCTGACCCCCCGCCCACCACCAGAGCCTCCCCCCGGCAAGCGTGACGGTCGCAACGAACAACAACATTATAGAGAAATGTTAGAAATTTATTACCAACCATGGTTTTAACAGATAATTATACTTCAAAAAAAAAAAACAATCCTTAGTCTCATATTTAATTTATATAAAATATAGTCTTCATATATTAGTTAAATAAAAAATTCAATTAAGAGGAAAAAAAATTATTGAAAATCGGGTACTTTGAAGATTAGCTTTTGAGCCACAGCTGTACTTGCAGCAGCTGGAAGAAATAGATATGAAGGGTGAATGTGAACACATGAATTTTGACATCAGAGCTAGAATGTAGCTAAACATTAACCCCTTCAATGAGGAGTAGCTAAATCATGCTTTGCCAGTAACAAGGCAGGTAAAGCAATCAATGAAGGTTGAGGAGAGCAATTGACCATTTAGTCAAAAGTATAAATTACTTATGAAATACTTACTTACAGATTCATTTTAAATGCCAATGAATTTCTTCGACTCAGAGTGAGTACAGTATAGCAAGCCATAGAGTGAAGAAGACAAAACATAACACAAGTAACATTCATTAAAAATAATTTGTCCTTGCACACATCATAGACATTGTAGCAGAAAAGGGTCAGGAGTTATAGTACCGTAGGTACTTGATGCAAAAATCATAAATTATACATTTGGTAGCATAAATTAGAGAGTTTAGAACTTGTAGTACAAAGTAATAACTTATTGTGTTTGATGCAATAATAAAACGTGATTTATTTGAGGCAGAAAATGAAAAGTACTAGTATGTGAGATGAATACTAAACAGTTGTAATATTTGCAGCAGAAAAAATTACAGTGGCAATAATTGTAGCAGAAAAAATTAAACAGTGTAATATAATTTGTAACAGAAAAATTTAACAGTTTTAATAAGTTTGTAGCAGAAAAATTAAAAAGTTTTAATGTTTGTAGCACATATGATTCATGAATTTAAAAATTTATATCATTAAAATGTTGTGAATAATATGTTAAAACATAGAATTAAACTTTACAACACCAAGATGAACAATGATCTAAAAGATGTTTAAGTAAAATACATGTTTGAGGGCTCAGGTAAATTAAAATCACATTGAAAGACAGACAACAGGGACAACTGTGGTAAACAGGCTAGACCCAGATGAGTCTATCAAATTATAAAATGAACCCAATTTCTAATGGCCACTACAGCTCCACGCAAAAGGTTAGCCCCACCCCTTTAAAACATCATAACACATCGAGTTGTGTGAGTTTTATTGTGCAAATGGTGGCAAACAAATCGCCTTGGTCTCAGTAATCAAAATACAATAGACTGTTTTGAAAATGTAATTAGTAATGGAGATAATGAAAAACACATGTTTTTGCACCGACGCAAAAGGTTAGCCCCACTTTGTACACTTTGACGTTTTAGGCAAAACAAAACAAACGTCAGCTGCAAAACTAAAAAAGTCTACGCTGCGTCCTGTCCGCAAGAGTGCCAAACTTGCAAAGTGGGGCTAACCTTTTGCGTCAGTGCAAAAACACGGACCGCTTGATTTTTCCGCCAGTAATTAACTTTTTCACCAAATTTCACCTGCTATAAATTACTGAGACCAAGACGATTCGTTTGTCACCATTTGCATGTTGAAACTGGCAAAACTCGTTGTGTTATGATGTTTTAAAGGGGTGGGGCTACCTTTTTGCGTCGGGCTGTAAATGTAACGTACATTTGTTATAACTTATGTAGAAAATAAAAAAACAAAGTACCTGGCAGAAGGAGCATCTCTGTCGTAAACCTTGGCAATCCAGGGGAAGAGAATGACGCCTCTGTAGCCGAAGACACGGTGCAGGAACAGCTGGCCTGTGTCATACTTGCCTGACAGTTTAGGAACTTCAAACTTGCCAACTTCTGCCAGACGAATTGCACTGCAAACCAAATTACATCAAGCATTTTTATCAACATCAAATTTATGAGTTATCAGCAATTCTCATTTCCATTATTAGCATTAATGCTTTACATTATATATAGATGAGTAACCCAGGAGGCAGAAGGATATTTTTTGCTAGGATTTTTGCAATATTAAAAATGAGAACATGATATTTAATTAGTTTAATTAGTGATCTGCAATATGATTGATTAGTAATTATTATAAACAAACACATACATTGAATTAAAGTAGACGATTATATTTTGATCCACTTAATAATATGAACTAAAAATGTCTTTAAAATCTTGTTCAACAATAAAGTAAAGTATAAAATACCTCCATTGCAGTGATGATAGGCTGAAGTATCTGTTTATAGATGTGGAGAAATTGCCAGAGCCAGCAGCAAGCACTGACACTCTGAGGAATTTTGATGTTGGCAAACATCGAATTGAAAGAGCCATTTTAAAATACCTAAATCATCAAAAATTCAAGCTAAATAGTGAAGGGAAATCAGAAAAATGTCAGGGCATGAAAAATTCATTTATTTATTTAGAATATTTCTATTAAATTTGATACTGCAATTTTTTATTCAGAATTTTTATATATTTTAATTGAATTTTGAAACTTGTGGCTTTGAAATATTTTGATATATTCAAAATTGGTAAATCATAGTCAATCTAACTAATTGTTAATAACCAATATAAATGTAAAATTGGGCCAAAAACCTTTCACGTTCCTATAACACAAATCCTTATATCTATAATAATTTATAGTTAAATATTAAATTTTCCAATCTTATTCTATCTTGGATAGCAATTTATTGTCAATCAGGCCACATATAAATATTGACAGTGACCTTCCAAACTAGAAAATTAGGCAAAAACTGCTGGTGACTCACAAATGAGACTTATGTCTATGAGAGTCATGAGGCAAAAATGCCTATACTCATGGAGTCATGGTCATGGTTCATGGATTACACATCATATTTTGGAATACGGTATTGACAAAAGTTTTCCAGTACCATGTGAAAACAATTTTTCAATTTTTGAAAATTGCAGGCAAGGCAAGAGACAAAGAGCAGTGAAGAGTTATTTTGTGACATTTTTTGCAATATTTACAAAAGTAATTAGGCAAGAAGACTATTTGGAATATTGGACAGAATACCGTCAAACGGGGTAAAAAAGGACAGGTGGGATAAATCGGGATGCACGTCCCACATTTCGTAGAAATGTTGTAGTGCTCAGCTAAACTAATCAAAATATCGCAAAACTAAAAATAATGATGTAAGCTACAACATTTTTACTATCTACTATGTGTAAAGC